GTATATTTTTTTTTTATTGATATATTTACGAATTTTAATCTTATAAAAGTAAATATGTAATTAATTAAATTTCTGTCCTAACTATGTTTAAAATTATATGTATCATCCATATTCGAGATTAATTTTCCCATAATTGTGTTCTTGATAAGTTGTTAATTAAAATGTGTTTATTAATCTGGATTAGTGACTAATTGTTGGTGTCATTCCAAATTTAAATTTTTTAATTACCATATGAGAAGGATGCATAATCTCATAGAATGTTAAAAATAAATAAAATCTCGAAAGATTTATGTGATATTTTAAGGACTATTTAGTCCATTATATTACTATATAATTAATGAAAGCACTAGCTTAGGATTTTAATTTTTAATCTTGCCATTTAATTTTGATAAAATTATAGGACAAACACCTAGGGTTCAACCTATCTTAGTAGCCCGAGTCTAGGTTAGGTTCACATAATTCCCCATAATTAATTATTTGTCCCAAAAATTAAAGATTGTCAAAACTCAAAACCCTAAAATATTACTCCCTCCTGTTCATAATAATTGTTGTTTTGTGAAGTTGTACAATAATTAAGATTATTTTTTTGCCCATAATAACCCTCTTTAGATGAATATTTTGAAAAAAAATAAAGAGTGAACATGAAAATACGTAATATATTTATTAGCTAAATGTAGGTAATAATGGAAAAATATGTTCAAAATATCCAAAACGACATTTATTTTGTTAATGGTTGATATAGCCAAAATGACATTTAAAAAGAATAGGAGGTAGTAATTAATTAATTGGAAGATGATACGGTCCCGGAATTGTCCCAATTCCGTCAGGTTTGTAACCGTTAGATCAACTATCTCTGACGGGATGATCTAACGGTTACAAATCCCGACGGAATGGTTCGTAACGGGACCTTAGTATTTTCCTAATTAATTTCTTAACTCAAAGTCAAGATTGATATTATGTTGAGTTCTCCATTGATATGACCTTTTTTTGCAAATTTAGAAAAATTATGGGCCAATTACTAAAAACTAAAAAGTAAAAACAAAGTAGGTAGAAGATAATTGCCCAGAAAAGTGGGAAATTCTTCCCCCCATCATTTTTTTCTTGTTTAATTAAATGCAATGCAGTGATAGGTACCCACAATCCTTAATTAATAAATAACCCACCATCTACATTCTTAAATTGATAGAAGCCCATAGATTGCAATAAATTCTTTTTGACAATAGATTCTTCTATATAAGCAATTATAGTCACTTTATTTCTAAAAACAAAACAACTAATCATAAAAAGGGACACACATAAGCTTAAACAAAATTCCTTTACTTGCTGCATAATACATCATATCGGCTCGATTATTATGTGGCCAATTTTTGTTCATGGAGTTGATAGTGACGGTAGATTAGCTATACGTCATCACTAGTGATGAAGAACTGTGCGGTTCGAATCGATTTTTTAGTTTTGCCTAACGTTTTTCTATACGTTTGTATTCAATTGGTGCAGTTCGGTGCAAAATTGTGGCGAACTGGAAAAAAAAAAAAAAAAAATCGAACTTGCGAATAATAATAATTGATAACTGCACGGCAAATAAAACCGAAGCAAAGCCGAACAGCAACTTCCGCACTGAAAGTCTGAATCGAGCTGCATTGCGCGGTTTGGCTTGGTTTTTTTGGTTTGCCTCGGCTTTGCTCACCTGCCCACCACCTGCATGAATGTGTCTCAACTTGCATCATAATTTTCATTTAGATTTATAGTTCAAGTGAAAAACAGGTGGGGAAGAAGGCAGAGGAACTTGTAATCACAACAAATAGATCCAATGTCAAACCCCCGTCAAATGCCACTCAACTGCTTCCACCAAGTCCAGAAATAAAAAGGAAATTCAGCGAATTACAAATTATCGAGGCCAAGTTGCAGAAATCTCGAGCCACAATTCGAGACCCACAAAACGGTAAAGCAACTTATGACCACGAGTACACTCCCACGGGTCCTGCCTATTGGAATCCAACTGCTTTCCACAGGTAGTAATGAATTTGTACCACTAGTATTAGTAAATTACAAGTTATGGGACATTCTATAATCCGTACGACATGCTTATATATGGGCTGAAAATCAAATTAATTAAATTTTATCTACTAATGTTCTGCAAAAAATCATACATTGTACCTAATTTGTTCACAATATCTGTCAGGAGCTATCTTGAGATGGAAAAGCACTTCAAGGTATTTGTATACGAGGAAGGAGAACAGCCGATATTCCACAATGGCCCTTGTGGCAGCATTTATTCAATGGAGGGAAACTTCATCTCGAAGCTCGAAACTTCGAATTTCCGAACGCGAGACCCGGGGAAAGCTAGTGTTTTCTTCCTTCCTTTCAGCGTGACCTCCATTGTCCACTTCATATACGACAAAAACTCCCCCGATCATTGGCTCCCGATGAAACAAACGGTCAAGGATTACATCAATCTTGTTGCCACGAAATACCCTTATTGGAACCGGAGCCTCGGGTCGGACCATTTCATGCTCTCTTGCCACGATTGGGTACGTAATCTCCATACAAGGGTACTTATCAAATTTCAAAATTATTTTTTAAGTATTTAGTGCTAAACCAGATATGTGCTCGTTCGGTGACATGTGATCCATATAGCCGACCCGTTTAGTGGGATTTTAACGGCTTGTTGATTGATGATTGATTGATTGAATTTAATCCTAAACCAATCGACCGTTGCAGGGGCCCGAACTCTCGAAATCCCTCCCCGAGCTATTCGACAACTCGATCCGTGCCCTTTGCAACGCAAACACCTCGGAAGGGTTCCGACCCGAGAAAGACGTATCCATACCCGAAATCAACCTCCCGGGTGGGCGGACAACGGGCCTGGTCGGCGGCCCGTCCCCGTCCAAGCGCCCGATCCTCGCATTCTTCGCGGGTGGGGTCCACGGACCCATCCGGCCCGTTCTCCTGGAGCACTGGGAGAACAAGGACCCGGACGTGCGGGTTCACAAGTACCTCCCGAAAAACGTCTCGTATTCAGCCATGATGAGGAAAAGCAAGTACTGCATCTGCCCGAGCGGGTACGAGGTGGCGAGCCCGAGGATGGTGGAGGCTCTGTACACGGGCTGCGTGCCTGTGATAGTGAAAGACAATTACGTGCCGCCTTTTAGCGATGTTTTGAATTGGAAGTCGTTCTCGGTTGAGATACCCGTGGGTGAGATTAGCAACTTAAAGAGAATCTTGAACGGGATATCGTCGAGGCAGTATATAAGGATGCAGAGGAGAGGGGTCGCGGTTAGACGGCATTTTGAGGTTAATTTGCGTCCGAAGAGGTACGATGTTTTTCATACGGTGCTGCATTCGGTTTGGCTGAGGCGGTTGAACGTTCGGCTGAACGGAGTCGAGGATTCGTGATCGGAATTTGTATGGTGTAGTGTGTGTGTGTGTGTGTGTGT